TTGGGTTGTTAGTTTGCTCACTGGATAGTTGGTTGGTTTGCTTGCTCTCTCACTGATTGGTTGGTTCGCTCACTCACTGCTTTGTTGGTTGGGTGGTTTGCTCGCTCACTGGGTGGTTGGTTGGTTCACTCACTTGCTCACTGGTTTGAAGGCAATGATTGAAACAAATTGGTTTAGGCCCTTAACGGGATTGTTCAATGCAGAACGTTCCATTTAAAAAAAAAAAAAAAAACACTGCTTTGTGTTTTTGTTTTACAGCTAAATTCTTGTGTTTGCCTTTCTGTTTTGTGGAACACCATCCATGTAACTTTGCTGCACAGGAATAAATTAAAACATGCTATCTTTTCTGATTCACTTGAGTTTAACCAGCTGCTTTGTTCATTGTCAGTAAATGTCAATGATTCAGTATGTTCTACTTTTACTTTTAATAAGTAAAAGAAATATAAGAAGTTATTTATGAAAATGTGTACCGGTGTATAGATAATCAGAAGAAGAGTCAACACCATTAGTTTCCCTACCCCTTTTAGGGTTGTGGCATCTGTTGTTGGTTATAAAAAGCCCGCATTTCCCATTCTTTTTTTTTTTGTACATTTTTTCTGTGTTTCTTTATTTTGTGATGAGAAATTCACACCAAAACAATATCAACACTTTGTTAAAAAGTTTTTTCTAGTTTTATCCTTTGACTGAGACAATAATCCTGAACATAAATATTATTAACATGCCATTTCTCTCATTTTTCTGTCTGCAGCTTGAGTCCCACTGCTGTCTGTGATGCCCTCTCATGACGCCCAGGTCAGGAGCTGACACTGCCAGTGAGCGGGAGACGCCACTGCACAACCGGTCCTGGGCCTGCACCATCAGCCGGTTCTTACCCTCCCTTTTGCATCCTGGAAACTACTCTTTCACTCTCCTGCCAGTATCCACAACCAGCAGCTACGATTTGTCCCTGTAAGGTTTGCCTAAAAACCGACACGCTGACGCCCTTGATCACCAGCAAAATCAGCCAAAAACCACAATCTAGTCAACACGATCAGCAGCATCATAATCGCCACCAGCAGCAACAGTAAGCATGTCCAGTCGCAGAAAGTCCTCCACTCCATGCATGTTTCGGGTCATCAGTGACCTGCCTGATGATCAAGATAACTCGGAGGATGTGATGGACATTGAAAAACTGCCCTGTAACATTACGACTCAAAAAAAAGACTCTGAATTACCTGAGTCCACAGAAAAAAAGCAAGACCCACAACAGGATAATGTAGAAAATACAGACCAGCAGACAATGTTAAAACCGGCAAAAACACAGCATATTGAGCCATTAGTACAAAAGGAGCTTTCTGATCAACCTCATGTCATTGAAAATGTTGAATCCAGAGGATTGAGCAACAAGAAAGTAACAGAATCCGAACAAGTATCACAGAAAAAACAACAAAGAGGCTATGAGTGCAAATATTGCCCCTTTTTGTCACAGAATCTGAATGACTTTAAGGAACACGTGGACTCCAGCCACCCTAACGTCATTCTAAATCCATTGTACATCTGTGCTGTGTGTAATTTCAACACCAAGAAGTTTGACTCACTCACAGAGCACAATGAGAGCCGGCATCCAGGTGAGACGAACTTTAAGTTCAAAAGGATAAAAAGTAACAATCAGACTATCTTGGAACAGACAATCGAAGGCAAAGACAATTCAGTTGAATGCGAAATGACAAATGAACAAGGTGAAGGCCACAGCATCTCCGTGTTTCCACCTTACATATCAACCACGGTGAAAAGCCCAGGTATTATACCGTCGCTCTATAGAGGGACAGAACTTACAAACCAGCTGGATAGCTTGATCCCTAAGGATCAAATCACAGCTGTGAACATCAATGGAACAGTCATCATCCCTGAACCCACCATCATCCAAGGGCTCTCCCATGTCTCCCCAATGCTCCAGCGCCCACCCAACTTTAACTCTGTACCAAAAATAGCTGTTCCTTTGAACACTACCAAATATAACCCTTCCTTAGATGACAACTTGACACTGATTGCCTCCTTTAATAAGTTTCCTTACCCAACACATGCTGAGCTGTCATGGCTTACAGCTGCCTCCAAACACCCAGAGGAACAAATCAAAGTATGGTTCACCACCCAACGACTGAAGCAAGGCATCACCTGGTCTCCAGAAGAGGTGGAGGAGGCCAGGAAGAAAATGTTCAATGGTTCTATTCCTCCTTCCCATCACACATTTACCAGTTCCATATCTCTGTCCTCTTCCAAAGCCTCCAAGCAGCCAGTTGTCCACACAACAATTGAGCATCCAGGTCAAGTCCGGACAACTGCATCTAATGTCTTAAGTATTGTCACTACAACAAATTCTATTTCAGGAGTCTCAACTGGTACCGCCCACACCCTGAAAAGATCCCTGCCAGCACACCTAGCATCAGCGTTTGGTCCAGAATCAAAGCGACCCATTATGGCAGTCGCTCCCCATTCTGGCGACCCTAAAGACAAAGTCCTAATGGCTCCTCCACCACCACCTCCCCCACAGAAAGACCGTATGCCAATGGCACCACCTTCAATTCCCATGGAGATCAAACGACCCGTAGCAGCTTCTCTGGTAAATGCAGAAGCAAAGAGGCCATCTCTTGCTGTGCCTTTAATGCCACCACCATCATTATCATTATCGCAAACTTTGTCATCCAAAGGGAAAATTCTCTCTGCAATAGGAAACTCTAAGACAAAGCCATTGATCTCAATGCCCTCCATGGTGTTTCCAGAGTCCTTAACAAGGCCAATGATAGCTCCACCACCTATATGTGCCCCTCCATTTAAAAACTCTTTATTTTTCCCTCGTACTTCGACCATCAGTTCCAAAGAAAAGCATACTAATACCCACACATTGCCAGCTCCTGATTTAAATCAACCAAATTCTCCTCCACCCAATAACACTCACATTAAGCGGCCAACCATTATACAGTCTGTTCGCACTCCATCTAAAGCCCCTTCCCAAATTCAGGGATTCCCTCTGAACGGCAAAACACTAAAGGAACAGCAAGGTTTGGAGCTGAAAAACAGTTACCCTAGAGGGGATAAGGTCATCAGCCCTTTGGCAGAAGCTAATGGGACATCACGTATAGACAGTAAGTGGTCCCAGGATCAGGTGTTCCCTGCTCACAACAATGGAATTATACATTTAGATGGTGAAGAGACACCAACAGCCCGAAAACAAGATTTTCAGCAAAAATCCTCGGTCTTGACTCAATTTCCTTTGCTAGAGAGGATGAAAGGAAAAACAGCAAAACAACTGAAGATCTTAGAGGAGAATTTTTTGCGGAACAGTTTTCCTACGCATAGCGACGTGAACAATCTAGCGGCCACTACTGGCCTGTCTCATCATGAAATCGACAGCTGGTTTGTGGAGCGACGTGCACTACGTGACAACTTGGAACAAGCCCTTCTCAACTCCATGGGCACCAAAAAGACAGGAATTTGTGATTTTGCTGGCATGACTGAGAAACAATTACATCAGCAGCATCAAACCCTCCACTTGAATGGCATTCACAAAACAAGCACTAATGTGGGCAATCTCAAAAGCTCTCCTCCACCTCTGCATGCCCTCTCCCTTAATGTTCCCAGCACTAATGCAACGCCTAACCCTAACCCAAATTCTTTCTCAGTGCCTCCAGACAGCCGATCACTGGCACTCCTCAAGGACGATTTTGCTCAAACGCGGTGGCCTTCCCCTGAGGAGTTCAGCCAGCTGGACGGTCGGACAGGACTTGCTCGATCCGAATTCGCCCGCTGGTTCACAAACACTCGGCTGCAGAGCTGTGGCATGGAACTGAAAGAACTTTTTTACAACAATGGGATGAATGGAGGGCAGGGGCAGCTGGTGTATTCCCCTGAGAGCACTCCACCCAACCTCATCCAGCGTTGTCAGGACGGAGCCGTTACAAACAAGAGTAAGGTGCTGGAGGTTGAGCTGGACTGGCTGATGGACCAGCGTTCAAACAGCCTCAACAGTCAACAACACACTGAGCTCCAAAACCGGTTTGCTGGCAGGTACTTAAGTCAAGAATTTTCATATGAAATTTGTTTGTGTGTATGAATTGACTTATTGTGAATTTTAATGATTTAATACCAAGTAAACCTAAAATACAAGTTATACCAAGTTCAAAGTAGGTATTCAACTTATTGTCCAGTGCATATCTTAACAGTCTGAGAATCCTTGCAAGTAGCAGTTTTATAGTTTTTAAAATGGTGCCAACAAAAGTCGTATTAGAAAAAGTAGACAGGCCCAATTCACAAATGACCCTAGGTATTCATGAAAGTCTTTTCTGCAAGGCTGGACTTTGAAGCTGGAAATGAAGCAAAGTAAAGGGGGGCTGGGAGAGATCTACAAGTTAGGCCTGTCGCGATAAACAATAAATCAATTAATTGCATGATAAATTAAAATTATCAACCTCATTTTCATTTATCGGCGTTATTGTTTCTTCGTGTCTCTTTCTTTTTTTACTGAAGACACAGCTCAACTCCGGTGCTCTTCACTGACCCCTCCCTTTCTCTTTAAAATCTGTTTTAACCGTCCAAAATCGCCTTTTTGATCGTTAAAAGCAGCTAAGTTGAGAAGCTAAGCTACGAGCGAAGCTACCAGGCCGACCTTGGGGGAAAAAACCTCCGTCTTGTCAAAGCTCCAAAGGGCCTCCCTCCCATTTTTCTTAAAGAGACACGCTGCTCGCTCCCTCACTATCCATCCTTTGGTTCAAACTGCCATCTGGTGGCCGAAAAAAGGTGCTGCATTCAAAACAAATTAAGATAAGATTGAAAAACATTTCTTCTTAAATTTGACAATAATTACTAATTATTGTCAAATTTCAAACAATATTATCATTTATCGCAATCATTTCTCAGACAATTAGCTGTAATTGCCCAGCAAAATTTGTTATCGTGACAAGCCTACTACACGTTTTCTGTTTAAACGTTGTTGTATGGATGCATGCACTTTAGGTTTGGGAAATATGTTCTACAGTTGGCTGGGAAATAACAAATTAGACTAATTATTTTTTATGGGTTGTCGTAATTGTTATACTTGAACTCTCTTACGTGGTCAATTGATTGTGTTTCCATTTGCTAAAGTAAATTTGATTAATGGGAGTTGAGTCCATTTTAATTCCAGTGTCTGAATTGCTAAAATTTAGTGTTCTAGTTATCTTTTTTTTTTCTAACCTCGAGCACTTTTTCTGGTGACCTGTTCATCTGAATTGACTGTACCTCACCTTTACAGATTTATGTTGTTGTTTTCTAGTTGCCACATTAACATCATTTTCAAGGCATTAACCTACAAATATACAGAATATGATTTAGCCTTCTTTCCCATCAAGCAGCTTGGGACGTGTTTGGCCAGATATCACAGCCATTAGTTTGAAAACCAATATCTGCACAATAATTTGGAAAGCGTTTATTCTTCCCATGAGTGAGCTCTGGATTCGGGCTCAGTCTCTGAGCCCCCCCAAAATGAACCTGCACTGATAGCACAATAAAATCCTTCTTACTGCTGATTCTATAAACTCTTCAGCAGAACAAACTCCTTGATGTTCATCAAAAAGGCCAATACTGCTAAAGATAACTTTTTTTAGTTTTTTTTATAACATTCTTATTATTATTTCTTAATGTTAGAGATGTTTGTTCAGTTTTTGTTTTTTTTTTACACAAAAAAGCTTCACCAGTTTAGTTTATCTGTAAGTGGAATTATTGAAATGATCCTAATGATTCGTTTTTCCTCATTCATTAAAATACGTTCTAATTATGACACACTCACCTTGTTTGATTGTGAGAAATCACCTCATTGCCTTAAATTTTTCAGGAAATTAACATTTCGCTTTGATTCAGAAGAAATTTAACACCACCAAAATAGTTCCCATTGTTTTGCCGTGTTTGCTGAGGCTTTGCGAGGGTGAAAAGACAAGTCTACATAAAAGACCCTAAACTGAGCAAGACTGACAAGATAATGTCAGCACTCGTTTTGTAAAGATGTAATGTTCCAAGCCACTTTACTTTTTTGTCATTTCTGATTTTAACAGATATAAAATGTAACAAAACCAAAAAAGGGAATTGATTTGAGCATCTAACAGTCTCGCCTAAAATGGAAAAACTTGTATTTTTGTTGCTTTATTTTTGCATCAAAAGGTCTGACAAGCTGCTAGTAAAAATTATTCAAATTAAATCAAGATGAGTAAAATCATGAAAAGAAGCACATTTTCAGACGGGGTAACAGTTGTGAAGTGCACTGGCTCCTACTTCTTTTTCACTGCATGTGATTTTTTTTTTTTTTTACTTTAACACAACATATATTTAAAGTTAATGCTCATTAATTCAGGTAAAAAAAATTCAACGAAGTTAAGTCGGGTCATCTGGACGATTTCTTTTAGTTGAAACGTTTCGTCTTTCATCCAACAGACTTCATCAGTCCAAGGAGCTGCAACAAATTCAGTTCCTTAAGTATCACCATGACCACCTCAGACGAGTTGGCGAGGGAGAGGGCGGACTCCAGAAACCATCTTATGACCATCAAACTGGTTGGCCCATGATGTGAGTGTGCTACTTATTAGAGTTGCACTCGGGTCCAAAAACTCCGGACCGGCCCAAGCCCGTAGCCATCATTTCCAAACCCCACCCGAGCCGACGAATTAACAGTAATTAAAGGTCCGAACCCGAAAAAACCCCAGACATTTTTAATTAAGCTTTGACTGCTTATACTGTACCACCGACTATTATTAACGGTTGGCGGACACGCGCGACTGAGTAAAGTGGGCAGAAGATCGGAGCTGAGGAGCCATCAAAGCGCATTAAATGCTTCCCCTGCTTCTGCCAGCATCCTGCTCTGACATGTCGGATATTTTGTGATCTCACCTGTTTGGGTCGTCGGCCGCGCGCATCCGTTGAGTGCAGTGGCTGAATGAACGTCCATTTGAGCTGATGGATCGCTGGCAGTAGTCCATCTGAAGCTTAACTGAACTTTTTACCTCTTTCAAGGCCGATCACCGCGCGGTCAAATTGCCGCATTTGGCTGGTGATAGTATGGCAAGCCATGATGACATATAATTGGATTGTCGCGCTTCCGCTGACGCAATCAAAAGCCCGACACCAACCCGTCCCGCACATTATTATGGCCCCGTCCGGTCTGAATCTGGCTCGGGCAGGGCCGGGTTCGGGTTAGAAATGACAGCTCTACTACTTATGGGACTGAGGTTTTTGTGGCTCCTCAGACTGATGAAGTCCTTTGGATGAAAGACGAAACGTTTCAACATAAAGAAACCGTCCAGAGGACCTGACTTAACTTTGTTGGACAACATATATTATTGAAAAACAAACATTTGCGAACAGAAAGGTTATAAACGTTTTATGTAATGCAGCTTCCTGACATTCTGACTTGCACGTCCAATCATTTTATGATTCACTCTCTTCAGAAGTACTGCACAAGTACTTCACACTTGGGATATGTGGGGCCTGCAGGTCACAAATATATCTGACTTTCTACTGCTATGTGTGGCGCAGGTGACCCGCACACAACACGAGGTGCAACACCTCCAGTTTATATAAAAACCTTTAAATTAGTAGCCCCGCACATCGAGCGAGTCAGACATACAACCTGTACTTAACAAGTACTTTGTTGTATTTCTCAAATGTCCTGTTGATCACCGCGACCCTGCGACCCGTTTGTGAGTCATGAGTCCCGTTGACCCAGCTATAAAACCTCCAGTGGGTTGGGATCTTACTTTAAAACATCCCTTCTCTGATTGGATGAAGTTTAGATGTTTTTACTTCTATTATTAAAGTTTAACAAATAGGTCAAAGTGTCTTTTTTTAATGTGTTTATTTTCTCGAGCATCATTATATTAAGAGGAAGAAGAGAAGGTGCACAGTAAACAGTGAACCAATTTTAAAACACTTACACGGGGCAGCCCTGGTGGAACATTAAGATAAAAAGAGTCATGTGAGGCTCATGAGTGATGTCCAGCAGGGAGGATCGTGCAGCTGTATATAGGTCAATAAGTGAACTTAACGACCCCCCTGCGCTGCGTATCTGATGTCTGTTGTTACCGTAACTGTGGTGTTGAAACTGGTTCGACAGACTGAGGCAGCAGAGTGTGGCGGACATGAAGAACGGGACGCAGAACGGCGGAGTCCTGGGAGGGGCGCGGGAAGTGTTCGGGAGCTGGCTGGAGGATGGACCTTTGAGGAGAGGACGGGAGCTGCTCCTGGACAGAGAGAGGAAGATGGCGGAGGACGCATCTGGGCGGCTTACAGGATAAACGGTGAGAGTTTGATCAGCTCAGCTGTCAGGTGTAAAGTCCATTAAAGATGCTCTTCATGGCTTCGAATTCACCAAACTTCGAGGTCATCAGTGAAATTATGATGTTGATCCTGAGTTTACTGAGCAAAAAAGAACCTCCAACTGTATTAAACTAACTTTTACAAGTATTTTTATTTTGTTGGCCAATAATAACAATAATTGCAAACGTTTAATTAACTTAAAATTATTAGTTAACAACTTCCTGTCAAGAAAAGTAATTTGAATGTATTGTTTTCAGGAGTATTCGTTCTTTTACCGTTAGAGAAAACTGATTGATTTAGTTTCAAAGCTGTGGGATTTGTCTCAGACTTTTTGATTAGAAACGAAAACGTGTCCAAGAAACAATATTTTCTTATCAGATTTGAATTGTCAGCGTCTTACCTGCAACAGACTGAGGTAAATAAACTGTCAGCTTTGAGATGCAGGCAAAATCCTGACAAATACCGTATTTTCCACCGCACACGTCGCTCCGCCCTAAAACCGCTGACAACACGGAAATGTCGGCCGGTGTGCAAAAAATCGATTGGCTGCCAACTGGTAGTCGAGGGGGCGTGCACGAGAGGATTTTAACAAGAATTTTACAAGACTAACACATAAAAACAATTGTTTGCTTGCTCGCAATTGTAGCAAAGGTGTGTCTCTGTTGAACTTTTCATTAATAAATGCACTTTGAGGGTTAAATCAGCTGCATTTTCAAAAGCCGATACGCGGAAACATGGACGCGCAGAGGGCGACATGCTGTGTATTTCTTCGAAATTTAACAAGATAACCACCTAAAAACAATTATTTGTTTGCTCGACTTTATAGTTAAGTTGTGTCTCAGTTGAACTTTTACTTAATAAATGCACTTCAATGGTCAAATTAGCTGCATTTCGCCGGGGCGGTGCATAGAAATTAAGCTGATTTGACGGTTGCTCCAGGCAGATGACAGGCATTCTATGGCAGGCTGATCGTGTCATTAATAGCCACTTTTACCTACTACATGATACAACGGCATGCCATACTCCATACTACTTGAGTGCCATCTAGCAGCTGAAAATGGTAGTGTTCAATATTTTCAGTCAGAATGAATGAAAACGGTCATATCTCAGTCAAAAATTGGTTTATAAATATGGAGGAAAAATATAAATACATCTCTCCTGTGAATTAAAGGGCGAAAAATATGGTAAGCCATGCTATCACCACCAGAAATGTTGATGTTTTTTATGTTGTCTCGGTCCAACAGCTACACAGAAAACAGGTCGTGTTGCAACATGCATGTCCTTTGGGTAAATATTTATACCACACTGTACAATTTGAGCTGTGAAACAAAGAAAATTCACTAATTTATAGGCCCGTTTATTAGCACCAGTTACATATCCAGTCTCAAATAGGTTTTGCACTCGTGACATCACTTGATCAGTCCACAACCTCACTGATATGTTGGTCTTTGGTCAAGACAAATTATTTCCTGTGGCAGCGTCGTGCACGGTGCGTCAGGCAGAAACAGATTTCATAACACTTTGCAAACCTAGTCGACTTTAAAAAAAGGTGTTGGGTAAGTGCAAACCCTTTACCATATGTTGCACACACGGTATGCTACTTGGAAGTCACAGTTAGCCCAACGCAGAAGCAGCTTTTTCTATTTTCGACCGAATTAGGTGCAAAGTTTTACAAATTTAAATTTATGCCGCGTCGACGGAGACGTAAATCTAGTCATTACAACTGTAGACTTGTGAAAAGTGTTGCCAGCTCTCGTTTCTCAAGGTGTCTGGGGCAATGCAGATAAAAAGCCTGACCAGTGTGCAAGAAACACAGATTATATTAAGTGTTTATACTTATTATAAAAAGACACCTTAAAATTTACAGATTTTAAGGTGTTTCAAGGAGATCGCAGCAAATGTGTTTAAAAAAAAAAAAAGTATGAAAGCTTGTTTAAACTCTTCATAGACTCTTTGATTCTCTCCGAGTTCAGCAGAAACAACTTTCACACGATCACGTTTTTCACATTGTCATTTTAAAGGGACAGTCCAGCTATTATTAGTTACAAGTAATGAGTAACATCAGTCATAAAGCACGGAGTACGAAAGACGAGGCTAAAGTCAAACCTAATGACGAGCCAGGTTTTTATTGTTCTTCAGGCTTATAAAACAACACCAGTGTGAACGAATGCTACTTTAGCTAATACCTTCTACATTTTTGCATGACTTATTTACTTACTTTCTTACTTGTTTATTGCATTTATGAGTCAATGCAGCAAAATAAACTTATTTAAAAGGTAGAAGATAATTGTAATACTTGGTTTATTTACCAGAGGATCAGTGCCTCCAAATCTGAGGCCATGGTCTTGAGCCGGTAAAGGGTAGAGTGCTTTGTCTGGGTCGTGGTGGAGGTCCTGCCCCAAGTGGAGGAGTTCAAGTGTCTCAGGGTCTTGTTCACGGATGAGGGACAAATGGAACGAGGGATCGATAAGTGGATAGGAGCGGCGTCAGCAGTGAAGCGGGCGCTGTACTGGTCTGTCGTGGTGAAGAGAGAGCGGGGTCAAAAGGCGAAGCTACGATCTACGTTCCTACCCTCAGCTATGATCATGAGCTTTGGGTCGTGACCGAAAGAACGAGATCACGGATACAAGCGGCCGAAGTGAGTTTTCTCCGCAGGGTGTCTGGACTCTCCCTTAGAGATATGGTGAGAAGCTCGGTCATCCGGGAGGGACTCGGAGTAGAGCCGCTGCTTCTCCACGTCGAGAGGAGCCAGTTGAGGTGGCTCAGGCCTCTGGTTAGGATGCCTCCTGGACGCCTCCCTGGTGAGGTGTTCCAGACACGTCCCACCAGGAGGAGACCCAGAGGAAGACCCAGGACACGCTGGAGGGACTGTTTCTTTGCTGGCCTGGGAACTCCTTGGGATTCTCCCGGAGGAGCTGGTCCAAGTGGCCGGGGAGAGGGAAGTCTGGGCCTTTGTACTTAACGACCCGACCCCGGATAAGCAGAAGAAAATGGATGGATGGGTTTATTTACATACCCATGCTGTACCCCGCGATAGACGAGGGACGACAATATACTTTTTAAAATCTGTGTTTTTCCACTAAGCGTTGATTTAACTCGTGGCCCTCGTTGGTCCACAGCATCCTCCCTCCACCTTGCCGTCCGTTTGCATTGAAGCCAACACCTCAACCGGGGCTACAAACAAATGCACCCAGGCCAGTCTTTGTTTATGTAGCTGTATGAGTTTAGGCTAAACACTCGGTTCAAATTTAAAGGGGGGAAAAATACTCAGAGGCCTAAAATAGCAGCAGACCCCCTGGTGTGGTAAAGTTTGATAGATGAAAGGCTCCGCCTAGGGCAAAGAGTGATGACAGAGTCTGCTGCTTGTTCCCCCCCTCCCCCTCCCCATCTGTTCTGACAGGAGATTGAACATCTTAATGTGTCTGCGTGGTTTGTGCGTCTCCAAACAGAATCTGTTCAAATAATCCCTTCAAGACAAACATCTATTTTAAAAAAAACTTCTTACACTGTCACTTTTGAAAGACCGTCTTTACTTTAGGATGGCTTCAAAATCTGAACTTGACAGCTAAAATCAATAATCAATATGCAGCATTTTGAATAACCACTGGTGATTTGCTGTCAGAGGTGTTTGAAACGGATTCCTGCACCTTTTTCCTTCAACGTTGCAGCTCAAAAATACTTTATTTGTCCCACAGGGGACGTCGGCAGGTAAGTTGGCTTCGAGTCACAACAAATAGATCATTCATGCTGTCAGAATAAATGCTAATGTGTTTTGCTCTTAGAGGTGTAAATTTTTAAACTAAAGTAGAATATATATATATAAATGTCCAGTAAATAGATGTCAAAAAGTTCAAATACCTCTATTACATTTATTTACAACAAGCAAACATTTTAGCAAACCAAAGATCTTGTGTTTTGTTGGCCTTCCTGTTAATTTGGTGTTTGGCGGTGAAAAACATTTTTTTTTTTCTTTTGAAAAATATAAAACACTGAATGCCTCATTTGGAATCATCTTTTGGAAAGCTTTTAACCCCGCTCCCCCCAAAACAAAGGCTGGAACTCTGCTCATCAAAACTCACGCTTCAACACTTCAGTCTGTATTAATAAAAGTGGATTCCAGTTCTTTAAAATTAAAGAAAGGAGAAGGAAAAAAAAAAAGAAACAAATTATTATCAAGGAAACTAAATTTGTGAGGAAAATATTAACCGAAACACGACGATTTTAATTTGAACGTTTTTATTTTAGAAGCCTCCTTGAAGAAATGCATATCCACGCCACGTTCCTCCACGCCTTTCTTGGGTTTCTGAGGTCATTTGATTGTGGCGGCCATCAATAGTGACATATATTAATAGTTTTAACTTCAAACACTATAACATAACCCATGCAGCAGACGTTTGCTGCATGGGTTTCTCTTGATACAGCTGGGATGTCGTTTCAGGGACACGGCTCAAACTTATTGTGCTTCATCTTCTGACTCTCAGCATCTTCTATCGAGTGGAACAAGTTCGACGTGTTCCCACCGCTAGTTGGAACGACTCTGTCACGTTTTGCAGCACATTGAAACCTGCAGTTTATCGGATCTTAGAAAGCCGAACCACTTCCACACCGCCGGATTAGTCTTTCCTCTCTTATCAGTGATGTCATCGGCTTTCTCTTCGCTCGTGAAAGCTTGTTCAGTCACATTCTGACGGTCATGGGAACTCATTTTGAAGCGAAAACTTAACGCGCGTTGGAGATTAGCCTAGCCTGCTACCGCTAACGCCTTCTGGACTCGAGCTCTGCGTAACATCTACGTCACCACGCACTTACGTAGTTGGCTCGCACCTTTTTCTGTTCGGGTTGAAACTGAAGCGGCTGCTTCAACCCGAACAGGAAAAAACGGCGTCGGTGAAATGCTGTAATCCTACCGAAATATCGAAAATGTGCTTTAAACTCATATCATCGTTATTGAATAAAAATATATTGCGATATGTATCGATAT